AACCAACAACCTTCCGATTAGCGGACGACCCGCTCTGCCTCTACCTCTACGCCACAGTAGTGGCGGTGATGAGAGGGTTTTCTAATGTTCTGTGGTAGCTGTGCTGACATGCTGAAGGCTGTGTGTGTGCTACTTCCCAAAGAGAAAAATAACACTATGTTGAGCTGTGGCTACAACAAGGATCATAGAATACCATAGTAATGACACTGCATACCAGGAGAGCGACAGACTGAGGAGATGGAGAGGGATAAGACGAGAGAGAGAGTTAAGAAGTGAACAAAGCTCGAGTTTTCTAGGGGAATGTGGCCAAGTCGAGAGCCGTCCAGGAATAATGGCTGACTTGTGCGCTTTCTCTACATCGTGTTCTTTATAGCTTTATAAAAATACACAGAGGAGGAGCCTGCTATGAGTCAAACTCTCAAAGAGTTTTCACTCCTGTCTGTGTTTATACTGGGTCAGGGGAATACTCTCCCTCAAGAATTCATTACAGCTGGTGTACATGCAGCACAATTTTAAAAACATGGCTGCAGATAACATGATTGCTATGATAAGTGTGAATACTAAAGTAAAGATGTGTATCATATCACAGTCCAGAACATTTATAGAAGATGTGGCACGCGTTCATTGCACACCCATCCAATAGTAAGCCAGCCTGCCGTCTCAATAACACTATTTCCCTTAAGAAATTTAAGTACACTATTATCTCTTAAGTCTTTTTAGTTAGTAGTTTTTCTTACATTTTATTATCTGACAACAGCAGAGGTCCAGATCAAAAGAGACCAATGCCAGACTGATATATTGTAGAGCACCAGAAAATTATACAAAGCAGGGACATGGGTCCTGATTTATTCATCGCATGATCCAACTGCTTCTCTTCTTCTTTCACAAGTTTTATTTAGTCTACAGCTGTCAAGTCTACCTGCTCGCATCCCCTGCTATGGTTTTAATAGTGGTCGACAGAAATGGGTTTTTCACTGGCCGACGCCGATATTTAGAGAGGAAGGCTGCTGATAGTCGATACATAATGCAGATATCAAAAAAAGAAAGAATAATGTATAATTTTATTCTGTTCTATAAGAAATCCAGGTACATGTGTAGAGCAGGATTCGTACAGGGCTTGACACCAACTTTTTCACCACCTTCCCAAAACTCGCAAAGTGCTACCATCGTTCCACAGCAGCCACACTGATAAGGCTACCTGCAGTGGGTAGAAAATGTAGGGCATTGACAAATTACTTTGTAAAATCATGCACTCTTTTTAATGCCAAAGCTGTGGAGCCCACAAAAGTTCAATTACAAACCCCCCAAAAATACATGAAATAACTTAGAAGATCCTTTTTTTAAAAAGAGGGAAACAAAAGTGATGGATAAGTAGAGCTAGAACAGAAGTAAAGAGAAAGAGGAAGCTAGTGAGATATAAAAAGAAACAAACAGAAACGTATCCTTTTTTTAAAATCTTCCCTCCCTGTAAGTCAGCTGTTTAACATTTTAGAAAATAAACCAATTCACCTTCTTTCCAAAAGTGAGACAACAAGGTAGATATCAATGTCCTGTCAATGTCAATGTGAGTAGCTAGTAGTAGAATAGCTAGACCTATCAAGACTGCTAAAGCTCACTTATTAACATTCATTTATATATGTATTAATTTATATACTCTGTCTCGTTTGTTAAATCCGTACACAAACAGAAATGTAGAAATGACAAATTGTGGTTTCAGGGGTAGTTACATGCTACAACTATGCTACCACTATGGTGGATTAGCCCCCGACATACCCTGATTGCAGCGTGACATGACATTGATTCCCAGTTTCCTATAGGCACCAGTAAGAGATCCAGGCAGTGAAAGCAGCTGCCTCCTCATGCCTGGTTTTCATTAGGGGTGACCGCGGGGTGGGACATACAGGCTTTACACCCGATCCATCATTCAGCTGAGTACCACAGGTCTGCAGGAGCAGCCTGGAGGCAGAGCGGTTTGCTAGTCAACCACACTGACACCCTCTCGCAGCCAAAAGGCGGTCAGTCACTCAGCCAGCCAACAAATCCAAAGGCTGCGCCAAGATACATCAACCATCCACAGTGTGCTGTTTGTATGTCAAACAGCAATAAAGAGTCATTGTGGACTTCTTTTCTGTCCCTCCTGTTTTGATATTGAGTTACTTGTTTAAACTGCGATCATTTCTACTGATTACTCGCTTCCTCGCTGAGTGAAGGCTGCACTGCTTTGCCAGGTTTAATTCTCTTACAGAAACTGGGAGTGGGCCAAAACACAAAAAAAATCAGTTAATGTTTTCTCTCAATCTATAAATTACTGCTCTACTATCTCTGGTGTTAGAAAATTAGTAAAAGACAGACTTCCTGAGCCTGGCTAAATAATGCTGACAACTTGGGACGAAGAGCCAGAGGGCTCGGTGAGGAGTTGCAGCTGCTTGATAATCAGACTGAATGACAAGAATGAACTACTCAGTCTGACGTTGCCTTCTTTTCTTCAAGGGAAAGATGAACATTTTCCCTAACCAATGATTAGTGACTGGCGTATTAGCTGTACTTCATTTTAAACTGTACAATAATAACAGAAAGGTAAAAACATTTCTCACCAGTAGGATGTGTTAAGGAAGAGACTAGCAGAAAGAAATATAAGGAAGATGGTGGTAGGGAGCCAGGCAACTGTGGGGCAATGGGCGAAAAAGGAATCATCTTTATTAGAGGTAGCTTACGAGTTGAGTATAAAAATAAAACTTTTGCCCTTAGATAAAGAACAAATCGCACTGGATTATCAAAGCATAAACTTGTTTGTCTGCACATTCGAACAGTTTGAACTGTTTTGGCTGAATGGTACATTTCTTTCCAAGTATCAACTTTCCAGACAACCACGACAACTTAATAAACTAGTTTAAGTGTGTGTGAGTGTGTGTGTGTGTGTGTGTGTGTGTGTGTTTGAGGTGGAGAGAAAGATAAGTGAGAAGTGTGTCAGGTGAGGAGGTCACCAGACTGAGCAAACAACAAGTTTGTTTTCCAAACCAAACATGCAGCTGAAGGGGAAATTGTTAGATTGCTCAAGCAGAAAGATGAGGAATGGATAGAAATAAAAAAAAATAAAGAAAAGTGATAAGGTTGTGTTCATAAAAAGACAGATACAGCACTAAAACTTTAGACTTGAGTTTGAGTTTTTGGTTTGCAGTAGTTGAACCAACGACTTCAACTGTACCGACGTTTCTTTCCTACAGGGCTAAGACAACACTGTGCCCATTTACAAGATAGCATCTGTATAAGGAAAGTTGAATGTTTGAGCATTTATGTGTGCATTTAATATGTGAATGTTAATTAGGTTTGGCAGCTGATTGGAACAGATAGACAAAAAAACAGGTTAGACTTTTATATCGCTCGGTTAAGAAATGTCAAACAGGCACAGGTAGAGTTTGACTTGAATATACTGCCATCATTCTAAAAATATATGTTTAAATCATTTAATGATTGTTGTGTGTAAATTCTACCACAATTATAACAGCTGTGGCTCATGGTTGTTTTGCCATTTGATGAAAAATATTGTAGCAGCAAAGCTTAGAACACTGGAACTTGTGAGGAACTATTTGGCCAAGGGGCAGAACCATCATCACCGTAGGCAGAAATACCACTGCTGGAATAATGGACATAATTGTGCTCCCTGGAGTCAACAAGACACTCAATTTTCAGACAGCAGTGTGGAGTGACAGTGTTGGACAAACTTGACAGATGCCACTGAAATACACACATTTGTAACCATCAATATGTTGCCTATAAGTTATGTATCATAGAAGACAAGATCCACTGACCCCTACACATCTCACGGTAGTTTGTGTTGAGATGTTCGCTGCTACCAGAACAAACCAGTGGGACCCTCACAGGATGATTGAGGCTGCAATGAAG